TACTACTACTACTGCTGCTGCTCCTTGCGCTACTGCTGATGTTGCTGCTGCTGCTGCTGCTGCTGCCGGTGCCTCTACCTACAGGTATCCCTGCTTGTCAACAGGAGGTGTGTTTTCTCACATCGTAACGGACTTGCACCACTGGTTTGCCTTTTGAGCGACTGCGCCATGTAAGCCTTCATTGAGATTGCGTGAAACGCACAAGAAACCTTCACATCTAGTCCGAAAGTTCGACAGATCACAACAACAGAGCCTGGACGAAATGGCTAAGCGCCTGGATCCTCTGCCGCGTGCAGAACAAGCAGATCTCCAAGGAGGCTCTCTTGGCCCACTCCAAGCGCTTTCAAAAGGCCGTCCTCAAGTGAAGCAATGAACCCGGGTTCTTACAAAGTGGTATTGAGGACAAGTTCTTAAAAAAACCCATCAACAAAATGCTTAACGCGGAGTGTCTGAGCTCAGGGGCCAGGTCTGTGGGGTTTAAGGTTGTGTCGGTAGGGCTGGGGTGGCTTCTGGGCGCTGGCCAGAAAGGGTCGAACGTGCAGGACTGTGGGTTCAGGAAGTTTTAGTCTGCAGTCTGTGGAAGGCCAGCACAAGCCTGTACCGGTCCTATCCATGCAACATGCGGCCTTCAAGTCAGAGACCCTGAAGGATGTTGACTCCTTGGGTCAACTTGAGAGTTCCTACCTGGTGCTGCTTTGCTGACTCGCTACTTGGGCCTCGTATCCTCTACTGCTGACTTCTACTTACTCAAGATGGAACTAGAGGATCATGACCCATACAGCACAGCCAAGTCTGTCATCTGGCCTTGGCAACTGTCAGCCTTTGCAGGCCCTTGAGAAGAACAACGTGGGGTGCCACCCTCGGAAAGTCGAATTTTGTGTAGAGCTAGGAGGAGGAGCCCCGTAGTGCCAAGGATCAAGCTGACCAAGCTGCCTGAGGTGAAGGAGAAGGTGCAGCTATTGAGACAGAGAGCTCGAGGGCTTAAGCTTGGGTTTCGTAGTTCAGTTTGTAAGGAGTAGGCTGGTTTGCGGCCCAGTTCTCAGCACGCCTGAAGCAGGGCCACGTGGGGCTCGATGACTGCATCGAGATCGTGACCCACACTCCGCAAGTGGCTTAAGGCTTAAGTCTCCGTGAGAACAGTGCAATCTGCCGGGCAGAGCTAGGTGTCTTTCACGCGATTGCCCCCAGGACAGAACATGCTGTCATCGATTGTTCGCTGTCCATTGTCCGTTGCCAGTAACGAGTCCAGACCCGAAGCTCAAACACAATCTTAAGCCACCCGAGGCAGCAGCTGGATACCAAGATGGAACGATTGAGGGAGCGGCTGAAGACAATGAGCCAGCAGGCTGTGGGCTGAAATCAGAGGGGCAGGAGAAATTCGGGTGTAAGTGTCAAAGGGTTGCACAAGGATTCTTTGGGGTTTCGATTTGCTTTTGTGAGGTTTTGGGGATTTTGAACGCAACCGCCTAGCCTCAAACTCGGAACCCTGCACCCCAAACCTCGAACCCGAACCGCAAGAACTCAACCTCGAATTCGGAGGTTTCCCGGCTGGATCATCACTCCGCAGCGGAGATGGAGGTCTGTAGCTTCATCAACGGGTCTGCAAGGGAGTGAAAGGCTAGCGCAGAAAGGGGCATTTACGTATGCCTCTCCACCCCTGGAGAGCAAAAGAGAGGCCAACCCAGTCTTGCAATGCAAGAATTTACCAAGCTGCAGGCCATAGCCTCCAAGCTCTGACCCCCAGCACAGCTACACACGACCATTGTCATGATCACGACCACGATGCAAATGCAGAGACGGACAGACAAGACAGACAGAGACAGAGAGACAGAGAGACAGAGAGACAGAGAGACAGAGAGACAGAGAGACAGAGAGACAGAGAGACAGAGACAGAGACAGACTTATCTACAGTGTTGCCGCCCGAAAGGTATCCAGAACTGGCACATATTTTCGGGATGGGCTCGGATCTTGACCTGAGGTGTAGTTCCTGATCAATTATTAAGCAAGGAATAGGTTAAGCACCATGCTGCGCTGTCTGCAGGTGGACCTATCGCTTCTTACAGGCACCCTTTGACGAGCATCTGCTTCGCAGTTTAACGGTTTGCAGGGTTTGCCATCTCAGATTTGGAGCTGTGGGGCTGCAGGGTGCTGGAACCGCAAGCATGTATGTAAGAGCAAAACAGGGCAAAGCCAGGAGAGTGGGAGAGCCAATCATTGCAAAGCACATAAGTTGACAAGGCACAGCATGCCTACAAAGACATTTGCTAGCATGGGTGTATGGATGTATGTTGTGCGTGTGTACCTCCGGTAGATTGGTAGCTAGGTAGGTAGGTAGGTAGGTAGGTAGGTAGGTAGGTATAGGCAGGTAGGCAGGCGGGTAGGTAGGTAGACAGGTAGGCAGGCGGGTAGGTAAATAGGTAGGTAGTTTGGTAGGTAGGTAGGCAGGTGGGTAGGTACGGCCGCGTGTGGTATGCAATCAAGTCGGTAAGCATGGTTATCTCGGACATGCATGCAGAAGATTATTCAGATAGGATGCCACAGCCAAAACCACTGCTACATTCTATAGATGCACTTACACATACATGCACCCGTATTGTACATGTGTGCTGCATACATACAAGTATATGCGTACTAGCACTCAGAAGCAGTATAGCATTGTCGCACTGGGATATCTCAGCAATACGGTCGTGTTTCAGCATATATAAATTGCAACAAACTACGGCAGCAGTTGCCAGCCAAATGGAAAGGGATTGGAGCATGGTAAGGAGCCACTCCAATCCGACACGCTGTGTCGCAGTGTGCTCCAGCCCACAGCTCCCGTCTGTGAGGGCAGGGTCCGGCATACGCCAGCGTCTTCGTCCAGGACGAGGATGCTCAGGCCAGGATCAGGGTTTCCGACGCTGTCTGGGGTCATGATAAGGTTTGGGGCCCTGTCTTTGGATCCTGGGTTGGTGCTTTGCTACACCATGGGACTTTGACCTCGGGTTGTAGCAGCAGCTTTGAAGGTGTTTGTTGAAGTCGGATCTTTCGTGTGGACGCATTTCCGCTGCAGGACGAAGAGATGGAAATCAGACGGATGCACGAGCTGGTAGAACAGACGACGCAGGTGCTCCAGCAGGCGGGATGGCTCAGGCTGTCAAGGCTTCGTCTAAGTCTAATGATCCTAATCCTAGGGTCGAGACCTAGCAAATCCTCAACGTCACGAATCGGGCGCTTCAAGGCAGAGTCCGGGGCATGGTTAAGCAGCATCGCAAGACATTCTAAGCAGGCACAAGAGGACATGCAGTGTCGTAGCCAGCTGCCACTTACTGTCTTTCAGTATTCTGTTTACAGACATATTGGTTGGTGTTTTTTTGTCCTTTGTGTTTCTGCTCTCGTCAACAGTGGCTTTCATCTCACTTCGCTGAGGCGCGCAACGAGCTCATCGCGCTGAACCAGCGTCAGAGATCCGAGAGCTCGGGTACCAACACAGAGGCTGGAGTTTGTCAGGTTTGGGTTTTGAGGTCGCAGCACGGAGCTGGGGAGGATTCTGACAAATCACGAAGATGATTTGGCTGCATGAGACATCCCTGTTGCAGGCAAAAGCCAAGAAGAAGGAGACGGCCGCTTGCAAGGCAGACTTGACAGACGGTTTTGACTTAGAGGGACGGAGTGCAACAGTTTCGGTCGCAAGAACCTCGAGCGTCCAACTCAGCCTCCACAAACGCACCAGGAACATGACAAGCCTTTCCAAAACTCTGACTCTGGAGTGAACAAGATTTGGACCTTCAGCTGTCAGGCTTTACTGATTACTTGTGTGGGGGCTTCGCAGTTGTTGTTTTTGCAACCTCGCGCCCTTCCTGCCAGCACATCGACCAGCTCCTTTGGAAAGCAGAAGTGGACTTGGAAAATGTCGAGGACATGTACCTCAGGCTCGGAAGGGTGCCTCAGCGAGGGCTGAATTCTGAGCAGAGAGTTCTGAGTCGTACAAACATCTTTCTGGAAGACATGCGAAGGAAACGTTTCAGATGCTGGCCCGTGCTTAAGCTTTTTTGATTCATTGAACTCCAAAAATCGCCTTGAAGCTTATGCGCTTGAGCCCTGATCCCTGAGCACCTACGCCCTACTCACCGGGGACGTCGAGATCACACTCGGCAAACCTTTAGATCCCTTGGGCTTAGATTCTGGGAAGTTTTCCTGAGTCTAGAAACCCTCAACAAACTGTCTCGACCCTCCGCCCTCAGCCCTAGCCTTACGCTACAAAGCCACAGTCATCATGCAGTGCCTGAGTGTCGTTGGTTAGGTTTTAGGGCTTAAGGTTGGGAGGTGGGGGCTTCTGGTGAACGCAGAGGACACATAATATCACGCAGCTTTGATCGCAAGCTTTCTGTGTCATAGCCTGATGTGGGACAGACACTCGCAGCCCCAAGCTCAACCTTATTCTCCAAGCCTTGACTAGAACCTTAAACTGTAAGCAGGCACATCGACAATCAGAAGGACACGTACTCGCTGGGTCAACCCGACGAGATGTTGATCTGCAGCCTGCCGCCATGCAGTACAACCACCGAGAAAGTTGCGATAGTCAAGCCATCCCAGTTTATGATCTTGCAAGGAAGATTGATGCACTGGAAATCGAGTTACGTGGCTGCTGAAAGGGCTTAGATCAGGGCAATGAGTGGGGTGGACGTGGCCGGCTGCGTCCAATTTCCGCCGCTTTTGCCGCCAGCCGACTTCAATCAGACGGTCTCCCGCACGTTCTCTGACCTCGAGGACACTGCAGGGCTTTTTGAATTACCTTGGCCATTCAGTGTTGCGACACAGCGTGGCACCAAAGGCGCTTGACGAGCGCACGGGAACCGGTGGAACCCAGAGAAGCTAGCTAGCAGCTAGCACCGAAGTAAACAAAAGTTCATGTTGAAAAAGTTCAGCCCACGGCCAGGAGAGCTTGAATACTCAGCTCGACTCGATCAAGTCTTACTTCTTCAGGCGCTAAGAGATGAATGCCCGTTGAGTTGCAGGACTTAGGGAGTAGAGGTTCTGTGAGTGCTTTCGGACTCGAAGGCCCGTCCCCAAGAATCTGCAATTCCAGACACAAGGTCCACAACTTGAGCCAGGATAAAGAAACACAGTCCTGGACCGAACAGGTGACAGTTGCAAAGCGGTGCCACGGGGAGCAGAGACTGCCCGCGCCCCGCTTCGCCTGACATGATCAGTACTTCGAGGCCGTTGTCAGGATCATGCTGATGTTGTTGTCGTTGTTGTTGTTGTTGATGATGTTGCCGATGATCGGGACGACTGTCCGCAGTCTTGACTTGTCTAGTGGTTGGAGAAGTGGCAGAGGAACAAGCGCAACTGGTCGTGGCGTGGTGGCGTCGTCGTGTGTGTTAAGGGGCGCAAGGCACAGTCTCGTTCAGCAGCGCTTTCCTGATCACCCCAATTCTGGTTTGGGGTGAAGCCTCAAGCCTGCAATCTTCAGCATGAAATCTGAAAGTCCCTGTGTCTTCTAGCACAGTCCCGAAGGCATCTGGCCGCAGCCAAGATCTTCAGATGAGCCGTCAATCCTCCAAACCACCTAAAAACCCAAACCCAACAACCGCATGGAAACCTCCAACGACCGAGGCCCCGCACTTCGGGGGTTTTTAGCAGGAGCCCTGAATCGTGGGACGCCCAAAAGGGGCGCGCGAGTGCGCATGAGAGAAGGGTTTAGGCTAGGGTTAGTAGCTTAGTATTTCCGGGGATGCTGGTTCGAAGTTTGGGGGGTGCAGGAAGGATCAATTCGCCAGCCGCACATATGTTGGGGTTACGGGTGGCATGGTGGATGATAATGACTGCTTTCTTGCTACTGTTACTGACTGCTACTGCTCCTGCTGCTGCTGCTGGTGCTGCTGCTACGACTACTGCTACTGATAGTGCTGCTGCTGCCACTAGTACCACTACCAGTACTGCTGCTACTACTACTACTACTGCTACTACTCCTGGTACTACTACTGCTGCTACTACTGCTGCTGCTACTGCTGCTGCTACTACTACTACTACTACTACTGCTACTATTTTTACCCCTGCCACTACCACTACCACTGCTACTACTACTGTTACTGCTACTGCTGCTACTACGACGACGACGACGACTACTACTACTACTACTACTACTGCTATTTCAGCGAACTTCCTGTATAAGAACCCCATCCCGCGAGCGTAGCCTACCCTAAGGTTCTTATTTTCCATTACGAGTAGTTAGGGTAGGCTAAGATTCTTAACCGCGTTCTTATCTTATTTCCGGTGTTTTCATAACAAGCCAAGCCACAACGAAACCACTTCCACCCAACAAAGAATAAGAACCTGATCCCGAGAGCTAGGGTAGCTAAGGCAACCTGAATTGTGAATCCTGCCGGGGGTAGGGGCTAAGGTTCTTAAGCAGTGGGTTCTTATACAGGACGTTCACTGTACTACCACTGCTATTGCTGCTACGACTACTACTCCTTTACTTCCACCACTCGACTGCTACTTGTACTTCTATTGCTATCGACAACTCGATACTGCTAGTGCTACTGCTGCTGCCACTGCCGTTGCCACTGCCACTGCCACTGCCAGTGCCGCTGCCGCTGACGCTGCGGCGGCGGCTGCGACTGCTGCTGCTGCTGCTACTGCCTCTGCTACTGCTACTGCTACTGCTACTGCCACTGCCACTGCCACTGCTACTGCTACTGCTACGGCCACTGCTGCTGTTGCGCCTCGCACTTCTACTCTTGCTGCTGCGACGAGTCCCACTAGCACACCAGTAAAAACAACGATGACTACCACCACTGCTGATTGCTACAAGAGTACAGATGCAGTAGGAAAGACACAGCTATCAAGATGTGGGCGATGCCTGCGTGTTTCTAGCCATGCAAGTGAACCCTTGTGAAATTTGTCGTATTGTATGATGTGCAGCCAACAAGTCCCGAGCATGAACAAACAGGCTCAAACCGGCAGCGGCGACAGAATTTCGGTGCCTGAATTCCCGAGCTCGCAAAAAGCCCAGGATGGTCAACATTTGCTTCCGAGCTCTCGCCTCAGACCTTCAGTGCCGAAAGTTTCGTCTTGCCCAGTCTCCACCTCATAGGGATGGTGTAGGTATCTGGGGATTCTCCATGCTTGAATGGCTCGGCAAGCGTTCAGGCCCTGAAAGAAAACCGTGCGACCGCACGGGCGAGGAAGGCCGGGTGTACAAGAGAAAGCCAGCTTACCGCAAGCAAAGGCACAGGCTACGGAGAGCGTCTTTGCTGGTTCTAGACGCTTGCTACCCTTCACATAGAGCCCCGTCCTGACCACCGTTGCTTTGGGGAAATGCTTCCGCCGAGCCTAGCCAACTCTGAAACCCATCTTAGTCCTGGCACACACACACAGTCCGGCAGGCCAAGCACAAATCCGTCGAAATGGCGCTCAAGAAGTTCCTGCTGGGTAAAGATCGCGGCGCCAGGGACCTAGATCATCATCATTATGATAGCCACCATCATCGTCGCAGTTGTCATCGTCAGGATCACCATCACCACCATCGTCATCGCCATCGCCATCGTCATCGTCATCATCATCATCATCATCATCGTCAGCGTCATCGTCATCGTCGCCATCATCGTAATCGCCATCATCATCGTCATCATCATCATCGTCATATCACCATCATCATTGCTATCACCCTCATCATCCTCATCCTTGTGCTCCTCGTTCTCCTCTTCCTCGTCATCGTCGCACTTCTCTGTCGTCACCGTCTTCCTGCTCCTTCTCAGGCTGCTGCTCTTGGTTGTGGTGCTGGGACCGTGCTTGCTCTTGTTTCTTCTCGTGTTGATGGCGCTTTCTAGTGATGCGTTTGTATGGTGATGGTGGTGGATCATCATGCGAGGACGACGCTGCTGACAAACTTCATAGGAGGAGGTTGCTCCAGTCGGCACTTCAAGACCCTAAAGGGCTGCCGAAATGTAGTCTACAAGAGTTTTCATGTTAGCACTCACCCCTGCAGCATGATGTGGCTGCGCCGCAGGCGAAGCTGACCTTATGGAGCAGCTGGAAGCAGGCACCCGACATCATGTTTGCACAGTATGGAGGAGCAGGAGTCATTAGCATGGTTGGGGTGCAGCCACATCAAGTGGCCAGCAGTGTGTAGTCTTGTTCTGTGATCGAGCTTTATCCCGTTTTATGGGTGTAACGTTCAGGTTAAACAGTCAATTGGTGGGCACCTAATTTGTGTGTCGCGTGGCGGACGAGCTGCGTGCACTGCTAGCATGCTCCACAAGTGCGGAGCAGAATTCAGGGGCCTGAACACCAAAGCGAAGCAACCTCACGGCTGAAACTGCAAAATCCGTCCCTGAAGTCGCATTTGGTCGCATCACTCCTCTCCGTGAGACACCACGAAAGAATGGCCAGTTCTTCGAGCAGTCCGTTGGCAAATTGCCACGGCACTATGTGTGCGTCCAAAGCTCAAGGTCGCCCTGGGTCCCGAAATTTTTTGTGCGAAACCCGCGTGACAGAATGTGATCACCATTTAGGTGAGCTGCTGTGCCACTTGGGCACCACAACAAGGGACGTTACAACTCGGACAGCATGTTGTGTTACCGTCAATCCGTGCCCCATCAGTGAACGGGCCCTAATTAGTGGTCAGACAGAGTGGCCAGCTAATCATGCATTTAAAACATCGCCTCCTGCGTAGCATGCGGCCCTGGCATAGCCAACTTAATAGTTTTCCAGATCCACATTGACATGTTCAAGGCGATCTGACCATCCGGGCGAGCTTTTCAAAGTCATTCCGGTGTCGTAGGCATCGTCCGGTTGCATACAACGGTCCCCCAAAGTATTCCTGAACGTCCTGCGATCCATTGGCTCCCAAGCAACCACACTCAGATTTTGTCGTGCAGCATTAGCAGCGGCCTTCCGCATCCCACAGAATCCATGGCTTTTTGTCTCCCAGCTGCTTTGTACTTGCAGCTGCCAGAATTGCACCGCTTACTACCTGGTACGTGTGCATCCCATACTTGGCCGTCATGCCAGTCCTGAACAGGATCCTCCTCTAAGCCATGGTAGCAGCACAGGAAATGTTCCTTTCCCGTCAAATGATTGGCTTGAACGGAGTCATTGCATCCACGCGCCAGATTGTCAACATGTTCATCTGCTGTAATCATCAGCACGCAGGTGCAGACGTCCGGCTTCGTAGGCGACAGAAACTCCGAAAGCCACATCTAAATAGAATGCCCAGCCAGCTGACATCAATGGATGCGGCGGGTTCTCCATCTGCTACAGCCTTGACTACAAGCATTCCTTACAGAACTGCTTTTGTTCTATCACGCACACACACACACACACACTCTCTCTCTCTCTCTCTCTGTCCCCCTTTCGCTTGTTGTATTGATTCGCTTCTCTCGCTTTATGTACCTGTGTATGCATGCATGCATGTGTGTATGGGTGCATGTATGTATGTATGCATGTATGTATTTATGTGCGTACGTATGTACGTATGTAACCGCTGCACGGTATGGCATGGTATGGCATGGTGTGATATGGTATACGCTTGCTTGGTATGGTATGGCGTCGATTTTTATTGTTTTGTATTTATTGTATTGTGCACTGTCGTCTTGTATTGGCTAGCATTGTATTGCACCGTCTTGTATCGCACTGATTTCTGTATTTTGTTCTATGTTTTGTAGCTTGCAACTTATGTTTTGCATTTTTTGGCTTTTGTGTTGTGACGTTTGTGTTCGAAATCGAGTATTCTTTTAAATTTGGTATTGCATTCTATGTCTGGGTGTTTTTTTATATCTGTAAGCACGCATGTCGAATATGCATCCAGCGTAGCAGCAAGAAGCGGAATATAGCAGAATAGCAACAGCACTCGTGATGCTGCTAATCCGACAAGTAAGATTTTCTCAGAGGTGCCGTCCCCGCCGACAGGACATGTTGGAGTCGCGTCTTCGAGCTGGAGCGCAGAGCAAGCTTCAGGAGACCAGGGCTCCCAGCATTCAGCGTGTCGGATAGAGGTTGAAGCGGTAGACCAGGCTGCCCGGCAGCCAGGCTGGATGCTGCTGCGATGGACACGAAGATTATCGAAGATTCCAGCGATGGTGCCAATAAGAAGCAACATGATCGGTAGCACTGCCACCAGTGCCCTCGCTGCCTCCACACCCAAACCGCCTCCGCCCACCATACCAGCACAGCGCCACCAGCCAAATTTACAGGCATCAGCTACTACCGCTGTTGGTGCACCCCACTGCTTCTCAATCAGAGGTTCCTAGTTCCGTTCCCTTGAAGCTCTTTCGCTGAAAGGATCAACTGGATGCCCAGAGTCGGGGCCCTGGGTGATACGGGTTGTGCGACACGTTGCAGAATGTAACGGCAGGCTGCTCTGAGTTTGTTGCAATGCAAGGTGCGCGGCTGAAGGCAGAGTTCGAGGAGACACCGGCCCATTGTGACGACTGAACCAATATCACTATCGCTTCAGCGATTGCAGCCTTATCGAACCATGTTAGCTCAATTTAAGGAAGCCAGCAGAAGGACTTAATAAGTTTCCGTTCTACAGACCCCTATGCTCGAAAGAGTAGGCGCGTACGGTACAATAACAAGGACCAGCAAGCCAAATTGAAGAATGACTCAGTCGTTTTTTTAGACTTCTGTGTCACCTGAACTTGCAAGCAAGATCGTGCTGCCCTCGAACTTATGTGGGGCACTAGCTGTCGGATGACATCACATCAAAGAAACCCAGTGCTCACAAGCCAAACCTCGACTGACTTCTGCCTGTTCTCCCCGGAAGGTATGGTCCTGCTGCATCCTGTGACAGTGAAATGTCCAAATCCCCGCATCAACTCCAACAGGGCGAGGTGTTTGAAACCTGTCCCTGCAATGCCGCGATCCATCCACGAGTGGCGGCATTGGTCCATCGGCGATGTGATCGCAGGTGCAAGCAACCGTGATGTAATGTACCGGGGAGCAGAACCCAGCAGCAACAGCTGTTTCCACAGACAGTGCAAGAGTCAACACAGCCCAAGCATGCGTTGGTCAAGAAGCAAGACTTGACATGTTCGATGTTTATGGTGCAGCTGCATCTCGCTGCACGTAGATTTCAGCATCCAGATTTTCCTTACAAGTTTCCGCTCGTGTGGAAAGCCTCGCACTATGTCAGCAGGTACCACCATCGCTGTCACCAGTCTCCCGCAGTATCGGGCCTAGCTTCCGGTGCTGACCGTGCTTCCAGCTGAGCATGTTGCAGCCCTGCATGGCTCCCTGGTTTGATTGAACAGTACTATGCGCTCAGGGTCTTCAGAACAATTTCGAAATGCATGGCGAGCAGTCATTTTCCGCGCCTCCATGTGACTACGTGTGCCTACGGACGGCTAGTGGTGCTCGCCTTTCAATGCCGAGGTATATCGCCTATGCAGAGCTTGCAGGACTTTCAGGCTATCGAGGTGCATTGCATCATTAGAAGAACAGTGTATTGTACTGCGTTGGCAAGGTGCATCAACATACATGCCTACTACATCGCTGTAATGCTGCGTGTAACGCGCTGGTCTTTTAGTTGTGCATCGCAACATCGCAGCACTGTAGTTGCGTTGAAGTGAATCGCCCGACAGCTAGATTAATGTACAACAAGCCAGATACACACCAAAATGAAACAACACAATATCATGCTAGAATGACCTTTTGTGAGTCGGACGGGTGAGAGACAACAGTGAATTGAGTATGTATGTATGTTTATATTATATATATACACATACATATTTGTGTGTGCATGTGTCAGAAACAGAACATCGGAACAGCAGCAATCAAGAGCCACGCCCTGAAATGATGCTGATGGTTTTAGTGCTCGTTATAGCATAGAGCAGGCGAAAGTTTTTTGCTTGCCTTTTGGGCGGAATCGCTGCCTGAGTCCTACAAAGAGACGGCGTCGGAGATATTTTGGCTCCCGGAGGCATCGCAGCTTCCGGGCCGCCCTTGGTGTTCTTTGCCTTCCTGCAGCTCGGGCTGCAAGAAAATTATCGCTGTCGAGATGCGGGGCCTAAGATCCCAGGCAGCTCGGAAGAGAGGAGTTCAGGCAAGCTTCGGCCTCGGCGTTCGCACCCCTCCTCGCCTAAGGACGGGAAACCCATGTCTCAGCATCGGCGCGCCGTGGCGAAAATAGTTCCTATTTCAGTCGGGCAGCCGCATAGGCCCAAGAGTGCCCCCATGATTCTGAGCCTTGCGCCAGCTTTACAAAGAAATCGTGATGGTTGAGTCATACTTGCTTCCGAACTCACGACAGCAAAAGTGAGCAGTGCTTCTTGCGACAGGTGACTTCGATCACGGCACTCATGGCGATCTCAGACCTCAAAGGAGGCGCCTGGCCTTAGACTGGAAGACAGGATGTGGCAACTCAAGCCGGACAGTGTGCCTGGACCATTAAACTTGGAACGTGCCTGCGCCAGGGGAGTACAAGGAGCTCTACGGTGAGGAGCACGGGAGTGGGGGCCAGTGATAACCAAGGCAAGTCCTTGAAAGTGTGTGCTGTCACCGCCTGAATTTATTCAAACCTTCCATCCTGTTTTCTTGTGCGGATGCCGTGAGATCACGCAGAGGTGGAATAGTGAAGCTAATGCAGCCGCGCGATCCCAAGTGCCGGACGCAGCTGCTGGTTCCCTATTGTTGGGTTTGCACCAAAGGCCGTAGAAGGAACTTGCAACCTAGGGTTTTGACGGACGCCTCAAAAGCCCCACCTCGGAAGCCAACTCCCTTCTACTCTCTCTCTCTTTTTTCTGCTGTGCTATTCCAATCGCAAGGAGGCCTGGGAGAATGTCCTTGGCATGTACTCCGTGTTGCCTGGACTCATTCACTGGCAGGTAGGCTGGATTGATAGACACTGGCAGGCGCACAGGATCATACTTGTACCACGCTTGCTTCCACAACAAAATCCCACCGCAAGGCGCAGAGCCATGTTGCCACGACATGCAGACACTGGCGACAAACGAAACGAGTCACCAGACCCTTCATCTCGCACCATATCGATTGCTGCCAGATTCCCTTACCTCCTTGCAACTTTTTCCTCTCTCCTGAGGATGGTCGGCGTCGCCTCTGTAGTGCTCGCGATGCTGGGCGCTGCACAGTTGGTGAAGCACATCCCGGGACCTGTGAAGGTGCAAGGGCATGAACCTAGATGGGCAGCCGGCAGCAGTCGTATCTTTGTTGATCTACAAATACACAAAATCTTATGCTCCGAACATTGTTTTCACCCGGTTCAGGCAGGCTGGAAGCTCGGCTTCGCACTTTGTGCATTCGGAGCCCAAGCCCCCAGTGCTGCCTTTGCCCATGCAGCGCAGCTCTGGCTGTAAGAAGTCTTTTCAGTCGAAGGTTTGGAGTTGAAGGATGGTGGTAGCCCGCAGTTTGTTGTGGGATGAAATCTAGTTTCGAGTCGGATGAAGGCAGGAGAGAGACTGAAAACTTTCTCGTTCAGGTTGCGAACAATCAATTTGTATTCTGCTGCCTCACAGCCCCTGTTTTCATTTGCAGATGCTCTCAGCGTTTTTCACGACCGCCAGTCTCGTTGCCCTCATGCTGCTGTTGACTCTCTCAAGGTCAGGGTGACTTGGAGGTGAAGATGCATTCGAAACGTGCGAAAATGCGTGCACACTCACACACACATACCAGACACACACAGAGCTATCCCTATTCAATTCAAGGTCCAAGAGCCAGCAGTAATAACATGCAATAGCTGGAGCTGGAGTTCTGCAGTATTACTTGTACTAGACAGGTACACGCATGTACGTGCAGATATAGTTATAGATAGACACAGTGCATGTATGTATGCATGCATGCACACCTGCATGCATGTATGAATGTGTGGATGGATGAATGGGTGGATGGACGCATGCATGTTTGCAGGTTTTACATGCATGTCTGCCTGTGGGCATGTATGTATGCAAATTGGACGGATGGATGGACGGATGGACGGATGGAGGGAGGGAGGGAGGCAGGGATGGCGGGATGGATGCACGCATGCAATGCATATGAGTAAGTAGGTTTGTATGTCTGTATGTCTGTATGTATGTATGTATGTCTGTCTGTCTGTCTGTATGTATGTATGTATGTATGTATGTATGTATGTATGTATGTATATATGTATGCATGTACGTACGTACGTACATTCATCGGCTGCTCCGGATACCACATTGGGTGGGTTGTTGGGCAAACCCGGGGACCGGAGACCTATCATATACATACGTACGTACGTGCATGCATGCAAACGTACATACATATTCAGTGTCGGCAGCCCTGCCCGTGCAGCTCAGGACACTAAAGCGCATCTGCACCCTGCCGCATCTCCACGGTTCCCCACTCCAAGGCGGCGCAGCCACCATGCCTCCTGGCTCTGCAAACGAAGATCTTTTCAATCTTTCCTAGGTCACTGCCCGATGTTGCGGGTGTGTTCCGTGGTTTTGTGACAAGCGTTGAGAAGCCATTCTGAGCCACTCGGTGTTTCCTTTACCGGTCGAGAGATGTTGCATTCCAGCATCAATATCTGCGTCGCATCACTGGCATCCGCTCCCTTATCCTTATGGAGTTCCAAACACTGCTGTGCTACAGCGGGCAAGCTGGAATGCCGCGTCTGACATGTTTGTACGGTTTTGTTGGAAAGGTCTTCACAAGTATACGTACCCAGCTGTTGCACCCATCGAAACGACGTTTGAAACTGTTTAGCTTGCACGAGCAGATACATGAGGAGAGTAGTTCGATCTAAACAGGAATGCGTTCTGAAGCAAGAAGTAGCGCTTTCCAAGTTTGGACTGCGACCGTGAAGCAACCCGAGTTGCACGAGAACCGGTTGATCTCGTTTGTTGGGTGTCGAGCAGTACTTGCCGACGCCGGCCGGCAGGCGACTGACTGATAATCCGGGTGTGCACTGCAGGTATCGTTTGGGATGGACTTTAACGCATCCACACTACTGGGATGCGGAAGCGGTCCTCTTCTCCGTGATGACGCTGCTGATCGTCGATGGGCAGCACGAAGTAGTTTGAGAGATTGGATTGAGCTGCATCCTGCAACCTTTTCCGGTCCCCAGGCTACCAGAGCAAGAGCCCGGAAACACAGCCATCCCATCTCGCGGCCCTTCCGGGTCACATTCGCATCTAGTTTTAGGTGTATCCTACATGCACCGTTGAAGCACTTCGCTTCGTCGCCATGAGCGAGCTGCCCTCCTTCGTAGTGGAGCACTACCTCCGTCTCGGTGGCTGCGAGACCAACGATCCAGAAGTGCTTCTGCGAGAGCCAGCTTGAGTTTTGGCATTGGGCGTAAGCTTTGGAAGATTTTGGAAGGCTAGGGCTTGGATGGGGCACTGCTAGAGTACTGAGTGTAAGCGTGAGCGTTGGCAGTTGGAATATCATGGGCAATTTCGATGCTTCTGTGGCAGGGGTGTTCATGCCAGATGCGAGGGACAGCAAAGGTTCCAAGATCGCGCCGCAATTGCCATGTCATGCCATGTACCAGCAAGGGCTGACAAATCCGGGCAGAGGAAGAATACGGAGACATACTGAGTCATGTTGGTGCCTGAAGCTCTGTGCCACGGTAGGGCAACCCGCACAGGGCTGCGCCAGTTCATGTAAGGTTGATTTGCTCTGACAAAAACCCAACCACTCCAACCAAACCAAGCTGAGCTTGTGGCCTCTAAGGTTCTTCAGATTGCCGCAGATGCGACAGAGGCCTTTGTGAAGAGGTGCCAAACCCTGATCTTGCCGGAAGGTGTCCTAGTGCAGAGGTCGATTGTGGCTTTGTGCAACTGAAATTAACCTTGTACCTTGCCTTACACTGCGGTGCTCCTAATTTGTCGGAAGGTTGTCCAGAAAGGTCCAACATGGTATGACCCCTCGGCTGCGACCGCCAGCTGCTGTTTAATGGTGTTTGCATCTTCTCCATTTGTACATCGATCAACGTTTCGGGGCTTTGGGTCGCGTCCTCAACATATCAAAAAGCTGGGGCATGTACAGAAATGCAGCATGGCCGGGTTGTTTGTTTGTCATTGGAGATGCCATTGGTATTCACTACCCTGGATGCTTGATTCCTCCAAGCAGTTAGGTCTTCGATGCCGTTTCCGCCGATTCATTCGATCGACAACAGTTGTACTGCTCCGATTCAGAGAGAAAGAAATCTCTCGTTCTTGGAGTTTTTGCATCGTGTTGGCTTCCGAGCACAGGCTGAAAGTGCAGAGCAAGCGCCGAAGAGCGCGGAATACCGTTCTGAGCACCTGCCGCCAGGATTCTCAGAGAAGCACGAGACATTTCAAAGCTCGGTCCTCACTGCAGCCAACTGATCCTCCAGGAGTTCTGTTGACCTGGGGCTGCAGCAATCACTGCACTAAGTCGAATGAGCTCCATCGGTTTGTCATCCTCGCTGAGCATCTGCAGCAAGATCCGAAGATCAGATGCGTGGCAGAGCGCAGATCTAGCCCCGAGGTCCCGGATGCCGCGTGCGGCTGCAAGCGATGCTTGGGTCCAAGACAATGCTACAGTGCAAAGTCGAACGACGGACGAGGAGTCGAGGAGCACCAGGTAATTGCCTGCAGAGAGGATGCAGGTTTTGCTGTAATCTGTAATTCTGCGACTGCAAGCTGCAGAGTTTTTGCACAGAGTCCCAACCAAGCTGCTGGACAAATGGTCGTTTCCCCCTCCCTCCCCCTCCCTCTCCACCCCTCCCTACCCTCCCCCTCCTCCCTGCTCTCTCCTCTCCCTCTTCTCTCCCCTCTCCCTCTCTCCCCTCTCCCTCTCTCCCTCTCTC